GGTACGCGGGCCTCCCACTGCTGTGGCCTCTCCCGCTGCGGAGCACAGGCTCCGGACGCGCAGGCTCAGCGGCCATGGCTCACGGGCCCAGCCGCGCCACGGCATGTGGGATCTGCCCGGACCGGGGCACAAACCCGTGTCTCCTGCATCGGCAGGCGGACGCTCAACCACTGCGCCACCAGCGAAGCCCTAATTTTTAAATTAATTAACTTATTTATTTTTGGCTGCGTCAGGTCTTCGTTGCTGCTCGCGGGCTTTCTCTAGTTGCGGCAAGCAGGGGCTACTCTTTGTTGCAGTGTGCGGGCTTCTCATTACGGTGGCTTCTCTTGTGGAGCACGGGCTCTAGGCGCATGCAGGCTTCATTAGTTGTGGCGTGCGGGCTCAGTAGTTGTGGCTCGTGGGCTCTAGAGCGCAGGCTCAGTAGTTGTGGTGCACGGGCTTAGTTGCTCCATGGCATGTAGGATATTCCCCGACCAGGGATCAAATCCGTGTCCCCTGCATTGGCAGGCAGATTCTTAACCATTGCGCCACCAGGGAAGTCCCGATTAGGGTTAATTTTGAAGATAGCGACAGTGGGCGTCCAGGAGCAGGTTGGAGGATGGGAAAGAAAAGACTGGGGGAGGAGCAAATCTGACGGAGGGGACTGAGAGACAAGTCCAGTTTGACACGTCCATCAGGTGGTCACATGGAGACGCCAAGGAGGCAAAGAGACAGGCAGTCTGGAGTTCAGGAAAAGGCCTGGCTGGAGACAGGAACATGGAGCTGTCCGCACCCGGCGGGTATTTGAAGCCAACAGGCTGGATGAGACACAGAGAGAGTGGGGTGGAGACGGCCCTGGACACGTAGTGCCAGTGAAGCAGATGGGCCAGCAAGGTGGAGGGAAGCCAGGAGAGCCGGCAAAAAGAGTGTGGCAAGGAGGGGGCAGGAAAAAGAGAACTGGGCTTAGGTTCACAGTCAAGAAAAGAGACATGCGGGCTTCCCTGGTGGCGCAGTGGTTGAGAATCTGCCTGCCAATGCAGGGGACACGGGTTCGAGCCCTGGTCTGGGAAGATCCCACATGCCATGGAGCAACTGGGCCCGTGAGCCACAATTACTGAGCCTGCGCGTCTGGAGCCTGTGCTCCGCAGAGAACAAGAGAGGCAGCGATAGTGAGAGGCCCACGCACCGCGATGAAGAGTGGCCCCCGCTTGCCACAACTAGAGAAAGCCCTCGCACAGAAACGAAGACGCAACACAGCCATAAATAAATAAATAAATTTTAAAATAAATTAAAAAAAAAAAAAAGAGACACACACTTCCAGATAGGATCAGTTTTCCAGAAAAGTCGGTTACAGCAGAGATTGTGGAATATGTTTATTTGAAAACCACTGGTCCTATTTAGAAGTACTATTGCCTAGAGACCAGGGACTAAATGCAACGGTCTCTTGAGTTTTCCTTTTGCTCTAGGAGTGTCCTAATAAGAGTGTACTATATCTGAGATTTGCTTTAAAATAATCTGCTGCTGGGAGGTGGGGAAGGGAATATAATGAAACAAAATTGGCCACATGTTGATAAATAAAGCGGAGTGGTGTGAGCTCATGATTCCCTCTGCTTTTGTGTATGTTTGCAAATTCCCATAATAAAAATGCAAGTGGGAGGGTGGGCAGGGAGAAGCAGGAATTAAAATTCCCAAAGAAGTTCACGGAGGGAATTTCTAAGAGACCACTGACACCAGAGCTCCAAACCCGACTGTGTGGAAAAGTAACTACTGGGAAAAAACGTCAGGTCACACAAAGCTTCCTCCAGCTTTCCCTCAGAGTGCCGAGCTGAGGTCTGGAGTTTGAAAAGACGCGTCAAGAGCTCTTTAAAGAGGCGCGTGGAGGTGGAGTCCCAGAGTGAGAGGGAGACGCGGAGCTCACCTGGTACCTCTGACTCTGGATCCTGGGGAGAGACAGCACCACCATCTTCCAGGCGAACATCTCCTGGTACAGCTTGTACCTGCACTCCTCGATTGGCGGGTTCAAATAGATGACCTGGTTGGTTATTCTCAGCTCATGAACGACATTCTACGAAGCAAAGATTTCATGTTTACTCAGCAGTCTATTTCAGTAAAACGGCTTTTTGATAAAGAACACTTTCTCTCTCTAATTATTAAGCTACTTCCGTCTGAACCACAAAGTCTGTTACTTTATGAACAGACTCGGTCTTCCCTGACTTCACGTTTGTGGCCTGTGCCCCCGCCAAGGAAGAGGAGGTCAGAGGGCAGGCCCCGCTTGGGTGCTTCCTGGGTCCCCCAGTGCCTGGGTGTCATACACACAACAGGTGCTCAGTGAAGCACCATCGGATATGACGTGCGTGACGATATCTGCACACGAGGACCTTGAGACCTGAGAAACCAGTGACACGAGGCCAATTTTACTGACGTGTGTTTACAAGTCGGGGTCAGTCTGTGCCACCTGCCACTGCTTTAGGCTAATGGAGAATTCCAGCTCAGTCTCCACTAGATACTGTATCCACTCAGACACACTCACTGGCTTTTCTGCATCTCAGTATTTTAAAAAGTACACTCTGGGGATGAATATCTGTAATATTCCAAAGTGAAAACATTTTTCAAGCATAAAAGCGGAAAAAAAAAGGTATAAAGTCTGCGTAGAAAAAAAAAAGCCAATTGTTTCTCCCAGATCAAAGTTTTTACTTGCCCAGTTCTTCCAGGCTTCTGTTTTGTGAGACCTTTTTATTGGTAAATATAACACACATACTGTAAACTACATAAAAGTAACACATGGCTTAATGAATTAGTGTAAGGTGGACAGCTTTATAACTACCACCCACGACAGGAGACAGGGACCTACTTGCAGAGTCTGAACAGAACTTTCTGGAAAGCTTGCTAGGCCCCAGTTGACCACTCCTTCACACAAATGGGAAACAGCTGGCTTGGAGACAAAGACTGCTGTCCAGTGTGCTGACCAGTGTGCTACTGCATTCTCCCACAAGAATTCGATTCAGATTTTTGTGAGAACAGTGACATTTTAGGGTCATAGTCTGAACACCTGCTTGTAGCAGATTATCATGTTCAGTTCTGGAAATGATTTTTTACATATCATACATGCTTGGAAAGCAGAGATTTTTTTTTTCCCCAGTGTAAATTTATTTCTAAATATTGTTTTCTATTAAATAAAACTTCTGTTTTTGAAACTATTTTAGACTTATAGGAGAGTTCTAAGGCAAGTATGAAGAGTTTCCATACACCCTCACCAGCTTCCTCTAACGTGGTGTAATTACCAAAACAAAGACGTCAGCACTGATATAATACTATGAACTGAAACACTGACTTCAGTCAGATTCCCAGGATCTAACGAGGACACACATCACAGTTAGTTGTCACAGCTCCTCACTCCCCTTCCAGTCTGTGACATTTTCTCAGCTTTTCCTGTCTCTCTCTCATGACCGTGGCATTCTGGTGTCCTGTGGGATGGCCCTCCACCTGGGTTCGCCTGACGTTTTCCTCATGGTTACTGGGGGAAGACCATAGGGGTGAAGAGCCCTTCTCATCTCACCGCAGGCGACACCACACATCTCCCCTGGGATGCTGACTTGGGTCAGCTGAGCGTGGTGGCGCCTGTCAGGTTTCTCCACTGTAAAGTGACCTTTTCCCTGGTCGTTTTTTTTTTATTTTTTATTTTTTAAATTAATTTATTTATTGGCTGCGTCGGGTTTTCGTTGCTGCGCACGGGCTTTCTCTAGTTGCGGCGAGCGGGGGCCACTCTTCGTTGCGGTGCACGGGCTTCTCACTGCGGTGGCTTCTCTTGTTGCGGAGCACGGGCTCTAGGCGTGTGGGCTTCAGTAGTTGTGTCACTGTGGGCTCGGTAGTTGTGGCTCACGGGCTCTGGAGCGCAGGCTCAGTCGTTGTGGCGCATGGGCTTAGTTGCTCTGCGGCATGTGGGATCTTCCCGGACCGGGGCTCGAACCCATGTCCCCTGCATTAGCAGGCGGGTTCTTAACCCCTGCGCCACCAGGGAAGCCCTCCCTGGTAGTTTTTAAGGGGAGAAGCTTGTTTAATTTACTATCGAATCGGCTGCGCTGGGAAATACTGACCTTGATCTTTGGCTCTCCTCCAGGTTTGTGACTAACTTGAGGTGCGTCCGTATCCATGTCGACCTCTGCTTTATCCTCAGCTTGTCCAAGAAGCACCTGGGTCCAAGCTCTCAGGCCGGCTTGCAGGCGGACGCCCAGTATTCTTTCAATCTACAGAGAAAACATGTCCAAGAACAGTGTCTCTTCCGAAAGTTATTAGCTCACAGAGCACGTTAACAGAAAGCTGACGTTTTGGGTCCAGGATGAACTGTTTCTGACTACAAGCCTTCACCCCTGCTTCTCAGCCTCATTTCCTCACCTTCCAGCCTCAGATCACCGTCTACTAGGCTGACTGTGCTTTCCACTTGCAGGATCCCCACTGATAAGTGATAAAGATACTAACACAAACGCAGCAGATGTAGCGAAGGTCTTGATATTTGTTCGGTATGGTAGACAATTTACAAAACAAAAGCATTTTCCTGGTAGCCTCAGAGATAAAACTAGAAAACTATAATTTGGAGATTAAACAATTTTCTTTTTCTTTTCAAAACTGAGGCATAAGTGACATGTAACATTATTATTAGTTTTGGACATACGACATAATGATTCAATATTGGTATATACTGCAAAAGGATCACCACAGTAAGCCTAGTTAACATCCGTCACCAAACAGTGACCATTTTCTTTCAACAAGCAAAGAAGAAAGCCAGAATTCTCTTCTGATCTGTAACGAGACAAACAGATTTACAAACAGATTTCCTATGACTAGGATGTCTGTATGTCTTGTTTAACGTCTGGCCACACAACCATCCTGGGAATGCTGTGAGGGCAGCTTGAGATAAACTGGGACTTGCAGTCGATTCAGAAGAGGGGGGCCTGTGAACTTTCACTGTTTGGGTCCCACCGGTGGATACACTGCAACTTCTGTATCCATTTTAAAGGAGAAAACCTGTGACCCACACACAACAACTTCAGAACTGACCAACTACCATCTGTCCACCGAGTGACCTCTGCCATAAAACATCCTCCTTCTAGAGACTTCACAGCTGCACTCTCTGACATACACCGACGAGAAAGCGACATGGGGTGGTAAGTACGCTTCAAACACACACACACACCTCTCCCTCCCCACATACACCCCTACACGCGTGAGCCAAGATCCTCTCTCCACCAGGAATAAGAGGTTCTTGGATGCTGGGTGGGATGGTGGAGGGGGACCAGGTGGTCAGAGAAGGGTGCCAGGGGAAGAGGGCCAGGAAGAACCACCTAAATTATCAGCAGAGCAGGGAAGGGCAAGTAGGAGGTTGTCAAATATCCAGAAAACAGAGAGAACTCTTTCTCCTCCCCCATAGCTCCCTGCTTCCAACTTACAAAGAAGGTTACTACGGCCAATACCACAGTTCAGCTCTATCACTAGCTACACGGGCTTTCTGGAGAGAACTGGACTGTCACTGGTAACTTCTATGGAAACATGCTTCTCAGTGACAAACTAATTAGCTAGGGAACAGGGCACACCCCCACGCAGACAGCAGACAAGCGGGCAGCAGTGTGTGTAACAGGCCCCATACCCACCTCCATGTCCAGCTTGTTGACCCAGATGGGCAGGTTTGAGTAGGAGTGCAGGTTGAGGTCGTCCACGGCCTTCTGCACTCTGTTCAGGATCTCGGAGAAAGTCTTATGATCATACATGCAAGTCTCCAGGGACCGGACTTCCAGGTCTATTTTTTCCTCAATAATCAGCAGATCATCCACCTAAAGGAAGGTATATTTAGTATTTAAAACAGCCACTCACTCTATTTCTTTATCTTACGTATATTCTTCTCAATTAATAAATGTCCGAGGCAGAGAAGTTCTTCCACAGATAGCTAACCCTACGTGTTGGCGTGAGAACATGCCTGTGTCTCTGTGGAGGAAGGGAAATGTATGTAAACGAGCAGCTTCCCCCCTTGCCCACCCCTGCTCCCGGGAAGGGCGACCTCTGTCAGTTTGCGAGGAGGACACCAACGCGCTCTGCTCAGCACTTTCCCTCGCTGGGAGCCGGCCGCGCACCAGACCAGCGGACTCTGTCCTGCCCGCAGTGGCAGGCGCAGGGCCAGGAGGTGGCAGCTGGGCAGCTGGGTGAGGGTCTGGGGTGGAAGTCCAGGTCTGGGGCAGACTGACCGCAAGCACCACGACTGCAGATCGAGAGCCCATTCTCCACGCAGCTTTACCAGTAATAAAGCTCTCGTGCCCTTCACCTCTCTACTGGTTTCCTACCTGAACTCGGGCTGTCACTTAACGGCTTCCCTAAAGCCGCAACACCATCCAACAGCCCGGTGAGTGAAAGGCTGCTTTCTCCCTCTCAGCGGACTCGGCCCTAAGCTGTAGGGATCACGTGTGCCCTCTGCGGGGGAGCTAATGTATTAACGGATTAGCCATCGCTGGGTCCCGGACGTGGAGGATGAAAGCAGAACACACCTTTTCTTGGAAGTTGAAGACAGTCTCCGCTAAGCGCTGCACGTAGGGGTCGAGCTTGTAGGACTCCCACACCAAGGCGATGCCCTCCGCGATCAGAGCCTGCACCTCCTTTTTCAAGCCCGCGACCAGCAGGGAGATGGTGTTGCGCTCCTCCACCTTCTCACACGTGCGTTCGTAAGTCCGAACGCTCTCGATCAGCGAAATGGCGAACGGGTAGAGCTGGTTTGCTTGGTGAGCCTTGTTCACAATCGCCAGCGGGACTCGGAAACCGAGCCACTTGAGGTTTCGAACTTCTTTGGAGAGTGTGATAATCTCGGGGAGGAAGTTAACCTTCAGCTTGAGGACGTTTCCGGACCGGCCCCGGACGCGCGTGCTCTCGATGGTGAAGATGCGGCCTGAGACACCCAGGTTGCGCTGCTGCACCTTGCGGGCCCAGTCGTCAAAGATCTCCTGCGTGTTGAGCTTCATGCGGAAGCTGTCTCCGTCCTGCTTCAGCTTCTGCCCCTCTACGTGGTTCTCCCAGCCCTTGCCCAGCACGTCCTCCACGCGCTTCATGTAGGCCGTCAGCTGTCGGTCGATCTGCTTTGCCCAAATGATGGACCCCGACACCGGTGGCAGGTCGCGCACGTGGCTCATCTTACACGCCTGGCTCTGCGGGTACTGGACCTTGAACTTGTCGTGCAGAGACTCGATGTCGTCCTTCACACGCTGGATCAGCTGGGTCTGGTACTCGCGGATGGCCCCACGGATGTGAGGCCTGACAAACAGCGCGTTGAACCTGGAGAAAATCCTGAACATCTCATTGGCGTTCTTAGCCGTGCCGAGCTGATCTCGAAGGCGAGCGGTGATCCGGGTCTCCACCCTGTCGATCCTCTCGTCGTATCTCTTCATCGCAGCCTCCCAGGCCTCCGTGCCCTCTTTGGAGACGTCGAGCCCGTCCACTTCCTTGACATTCTCGTAAGCGAGGTTGACCTCCTCTATGGCATTTGCGTCAGCAGCATCGAAGAGAACCTCGGCTACTTTCATGTCTTGGGGTTCGGGCACCTCTCCTTGGTTCTGCTGTGCAACTGCTGTGACCTGGAAGGAGAGGATTCGTAACAAAAAAACGTCTGCCAAATGAAGACTCATCCTGTTGCGCACAAGCAGCACACACCATACAAAATGACCCGTCCACCACGTAGGTTCAACGTTTAGTCAAACATTTTATAACTACAACTCAACAAGACCATGTAAGACATTATATGGTATGTTTTAACTCTGTGCTGGAAAGATCTTCTGACAATGTAGTTTCGTTGCTTAAGCTAAAAGAACATGTCTTAAAACCTGGGTTTGGGGTTCTTCCCTCTTCAATGTTTAGACTATGATTAAAATTGCATTGGAAAGCTCAGGAATTCACAGGAGTGCTACGTACAAACTTAGTATCCAACATGCTTTTCCTTTTCCTTTTTTTTTTTTTAAACTTTAAATTATAATCCATCGGTCCATACCACAGCAGAGGGACAAAGTGCTACAGTAACTGAGAAGAGTCCATTCAGTTTTCTTCATGCTACTGGAGAGACAGCAGAGTACACACAGGATCTTTGCCTCAGGAAATGCTAAGACTTCCAGGCATATCTCAGGCCCACACTCACAGAATTATAACACTAGGCAGGGGTCTTGATCTGGGGTCCACAGATGCCTCGGATGAAATTCAGACAGTCTGTGAGTTTGTTTGGGGCAAATCATGATTTTCACTAACTCCCTAATTCAATTTAGCATTTCCTTCAATTATGAATGTGGGCTACAGCCACAGCTGTTCACAGTTCCAACTCTGTCCTCAGTAACTCCCTCCTCAGCACATTCCTACAGCTGTGCACATCCTACAGCTGTGCACATCCTAAGGTCATGTTTACGTTCACTACTACAGAATTAGGGTATTAGGCCTGTCACTAGGTCTTGCTCTTTCAAGCGTTCATGGAGAAGCATACAGGTTACGAGATCACAATTTCAAAACTGCTGACAACTGTTTATTTGTAAACCTGTGCGTTTTAGTTTATGTATTTAAAAACATTCTGAGGACTCTGGGTGATGACAGCGTAGGAGCAAAAACTGGGCACGGTGATCAAGCAGCCATTCCAGGACAGCGGAAAACAAGCAATGGCGGCCAGCACCTTGAGCTGTGTTTGTACCAGGTAAGAGCAGCGAGCTGACGGCCGTCCTGCCTGGAGGGGCTCCCATCCGCCAGCTCAGGCAGGAAAACCCGCAGCTTTGCAGGTGGGAGGACAAGAGCAATAGGCATAAAGGGGAGATTCTGGAAAAGACAGCCTGACAAGGGCCGAGGTACTAAATTACACGGACACACAGGAGACCCTGGGGAGTCCTGCAAGAATGAAAAGTCTGGGCAGATTTACAACTTGCTGTCAACCAAGAATTCTATAACCGGTGAAACTATCCTTCAAATATGAGAGTGAAATATTTTTCCCAATAAACAAGAAATGAGGGAAACTGTTGCCAGCAAACCTATGGAACAAGAAATACTAAAGCAAGTCCTTTAGGCTAAAGAGATAAGACAGCAGAGAGTAACTTAGGCCATAGGAAGGAATGAAGAGAACTGGAAAATATAAATCGGGGACAAACATAAAAGATTGTATTATTATTTTTCTTTTCTTCTCCTGATTTTTCTAAGATATATATGACTGTTTAAAACAAAACTTGCAACACTATATTGCTGGGTTTGCAATACATGTAATAGGTATGTAATATACATGTATGGGAAGAGCAGTCTTATTTCCACTGTTATAAATATGACAAGCAGGAGGAGACAGGGCTACACCGGTTATGAGGTTCAGTCAGTACTGAGCACATCATGATAAATTAAAGATCTAGAGTAATCCCTGAAAAAGAAAATTCAAAGAAATACAGCTACAAGTCTATAGAGGAATTAAAATGATATACTAAAAATAACACAAAAGAAGGCAGTACAGGAACAGAGAAAGAGATGAATGGAAAACAAATAGCAAATGGCAGGTCTAAATCCAACCGTATCAATGATTATCTTAAATGTGAACAGACTAAGTAGTCCAAAAGACCGTTCTGAGAATGTATGCCTGCACACCTGAGTTTATCATACATCTTACAAATGTAGAGGACGTACATATACCATATGGTTTACAAACAAAAAGAAAGCAGACAATGATCTTTTGAAACAATGCTATCTGAGAAGAGGGACGTGGCAAAAAAGGGTCGAGACACCCGAGGCCGGAACGAATCAGCCCGTCCCAAGTCTCTCATGGACACAATAAAGGGTTAACATTTAAACCAACACACGCACACGTGTACATATAAATTAGCACCGCACTGAGTAAAAAGATGCCGAGGATGCGTTGTTAACAATCTGCTCCACCCTGAAGAGCAGGCACTCCTAATCGGAGAATGAACCCTTCTAGATGGCATCATTTCTAGACTGGATCCCCCCCGCCCAACCCAACTAACAGCTCATCACAAAATTTTCAAACTACAGGAGGGTAGAAAGAATTCTAGACTGAATACCCATATACCACCACCTAGAGCCTATAATTAACATCAACCAATTAACACTGGCTCTGTACTGGCTTTTATCCTGTATCTATCCACTTACCGACTCTTCTACCTGTAAGTACTTCTGGACTCTGGGTTTTTTAAAGGGAGAAAGGCATTGGTGAAGAAGAGTGCTGAACTGAGAAGAGATAAAAAAGCACGAACAGAGAAAAGGAGTCATTTCATCCTTTTAATAAATCTGAGGCAAATGCAATTATTATCCACAGTTTAGAGATAAGGGGTCTGGGGAAAAGGTTAAATAATGTGCCCCAGGCACATGGCTAGTTCAACGGTGGGATCAGGATTTAAACCCATGAAGTCTGGCTCTGGGGTCCGTGCAATTTGGAGACGGGGATGAATCGATGGAGAACGTTAAAGACGAACTGAAACACCATGATTCAGAATCACTAGATCTTAAAAGATTACAGTGACGGGTAAAAACGGAGCTGAAGGAGTACTTCACAGTATAAAACAGAAACAAGTAGTTAAATCTAAAAGAAAAAAGAGAGAGAGGGTCATTCAAACCATGCACGTACGAAGTTTTAGAATGTGAATCACACCTGTGGCCTCAGGACCCTGACAATGACAGCTCTCAGCTGCTCGTGCTGGCGTCTAAACTTCCTCATCTGGTCAAGGCGAGCCTGAAGCTTCCTGTGAGCAGGGTTGATTCGCCACACCATCTTCAGGTTTTCTTCCCTTTTCCTTTTGACAATGTCTCTCAACAACACCTGGAGTTTCTCATATTCATCATCCCAAGTCTGAAAGACTTCAAAGCACGCGACCATAACCTGGTATATAATTTAAGAAAGCAAGTGTATTATTAAAGCATATTTTCATCTCAGTGCCCTCAGGTTGGTTTTCTGATATATTACAACTCACTTTTTCAAATTCTTCATAAGCAACATGCATCAGTTTTCTAGTGCCCAGCACTTTGAGTAACTGAGAACTCAAGTCTCTTGAAATCGCCTCCACCAAACGCAGTGCCCTCTGAATGGGGTATTTTGTGTTTCGGATCTTTCTCAGATGGGTGAAAATTGCAACAAGTGCCTGCCTTATCTTGTCCAGCTCAGTGGCAGACAGCAAGTCATTCAGAGGAAAATCTTTCATCAGAGGATTGTAGTCATTCACAGTTTCCAAGGCCTGTTTCAGACCTAGATTAACAGAGAAACAGTTAATGGTTTTCACATGAAGTGATACAACTATCATGTTGTTATATATCAGTTATACCACAATGAAAAATAAAGCAAAAAGATATTTCTTTTAGGTTTAAATACTGGTTAAGTAAACTAAAGTATATCCTCACAACAGAACATTTTGATGTTGCAAAAGATTTAGTGACACAGAAATTGTGTTATTTGAAAGAAAAGAATGTTATTAACAAGATAATCCCAGTGTGGTCTCATTTTTGCTTTTTTAAGAATATCAGTCAACTCATGCACTCCAAAGGCTATGAGTGGTAGCCCCAAAGATTTCATCTTTTTTTGCTTTCTGTATTATCTAAACATTCTAGTAATACCACTTTAGTATTTTTTTAACATCTTTATTGGAGTATAATTGCTTTAAAATGGTGTGTTAGTTTCTGCTTTATAACAAAGTGAACCAGCTATACATATACATATATGCCCATATCTCCTCCCTCCTGCGTCTCCCACTACTTTAGTTGTCTTTTTTTTTGCGGTACGCGGGCCTCTCACTGCGGCGGCCTCTCCCGTTGCGGAGCACAGGCCCCGGATATGCAGGCTCAGCGGCCATGGCTCACGGGCCCAGCCGCTCCGCGGCATGCGGGATATTCCCGGACCAGGGCACGAACCCGCGTCCCCTGCATCGGCAGGCGGACTCTCAACCACTGCGCCACCAGGGAAGCCCTACTTTAGTTTTAAAAAACTAGAATTTTATCATCCTTAAGAACAGTAAAATTTAAATTTTATACCCATGGCTCAAGTTAGGGGAATATATTATGGACGTGGAATCACAGAAAAACCTGGCTCCTCGTCCATTTTTTTTTTTTTTTTAAACTTCCTCTGGCATAAGATTTACAAAAGAAATGTATTAGGAAAGAAATAAAGGTTTCAGAGGTATTAAAAAATTCAAGGTATACATTTCCGTACTAGTGAGTGCCCATATCCTAGTGAATGTATGCAGTATGATCAAAATAACTGGAAGGTTTCCACCCGGAACGCCCTCTAACATTTAAAATGTGGGCACCACAACCTTTTGTGGAGGGGGAGAAAAGAACATGACAACTACTGCAGTCCTGATGGCTTGTTCCAACACGTCTCTGGTGGGCACAGAGTGGCAGAGCAACGTCCACCCGTGGCCGGTCATTCCACATTTGTGTGCCTGGTACATGCTCATTCCACATCACTCCCCCTGCTGCCCGTTCGGAAAATAACTTTATCTTGACCACTTTTCAGAACGGGGTGGGGGGGGAGGGCAGAGAACAGAGGAAGGGGGGCAGGTAAAAGCGGAAAAGAAAGTACTGACCGGCTCTCCCCCCACAGCCCTGCGGGCAAAGAACTTCCGCTTAACGTAAACCATGTTCCTGCTTGGACCGTCAAAAGCACACCTGACTTTACACTAAGAGAGTGCAGCCTACTCAAGGAACCAAGTAACTGAGAAAACAAGAGGGAAGCTCCCAGCGTCCCCTGTACTCATGCCTAGAAACCGGCTTATGTTCTTAAAACCCTGGAAGGGAAAGGGAGGTATGTGAGAAAATCATTTTCATTACCTAGAGCTGGGGGAAAGATGGGATAAGTTGCCAAGGAGTAAACAGTCAGGAAAGATGGTGCATCTATTAATTTTCACCACAAAACCCAGGTCAACAGCTTATTGATCAGACTATCAGCTCTAGTTTTTACCTGTGTCAGTGTCGAAGCTGACGGTGGCATGGAAACGTTTGCCGTGTTTCAAGATATCCAGCGTCAGGAGAACTTCTGGGCTCTCTCGTTTCTCCTGGATGCGGTATAACGCACGTTCCAAGTTTAGCCAAAAACTAATTTCCTGTAAGGCAGTTCCTGAGGCAGGATCTCGATCAAGTTTGGTCACCTTAAATATAAAATAACATTCAAGAGTATTCAGCATTTAAACAAAGGTACAAAACGTACCGTTAACTAAGAACATGCATTATAATTTAGTTTTTATATTTCAAGCAGATTTCCTTCCTTGTATTATAAGCGGTTTAGTTTGAAATCAAAGGTCTGGACTTCCCTGGAGGTCCACTGGTTAAGACTCCACGTTCCCACTGCAGGTGGTGCGGGTTCGATCCCTGGTTGGGGAACTAAGATGCTACATGACACAAAGTACAACCAAAAAAAAAAAAAGAAATCAAAGGTCTGAGACAGCTGAGATTAGCGCTCTCTCAGGGATGTTATTTAAACCATGTCACACGGTACCCTGACCACTCCACTCCACCTGGGCCGACATTAATCCTCCATTGAGCATTCCCAGGACCAGTGGGAGGTACTGCTAACAGTCATCACAGAATTCACCTCATTGACAAGAACTCGGACCAGTTTTCTCACAGATATTAAAGAGTAAAGCATTTTACGTGATATTTTCAATACTGTGCTCTTACTTTTTGAATTTCTCGGATCCAGCGGTTAACTCCAGATTGTAACTGATTGAGAAAAGTTGGGTCTTCAACCTTATCTCCAAAGTCTGTAACTTTTGGCTTTTCTCCACGCTCATAACACTGTTTTGCAACATTTGTAATAATTGGATGAATGGGCAGGCTGATCTCTGGAATTTCAATATTCTGCTGCAGGTGAAGGAGTCCCATTTCAAGTTCTGCAATCTTTTTTTCAACTGAAGGAGCCATTTTATCACCATCCCTAAAAAGACAGGAAATAGCTCAGACTTTAGTGCGCTATTGGTCTCCAAAGAGATTCTATTATCTCAGGTCTGTCAAATATTAATAATACACATTTTATTAATGCAACAGATTTACATCCTCTTGGTTTACTAGCTTTTCCCTCCCGATTTCTGAATTTTACATCATCTTCCACAGTGTGTCGTGAACATTAAGTAAAATACGGCATTCAAACTAACGAAGGAAAAATGGTTTTTACCTGTCTGCCTTGCCAGACTCTCTGATATAGGACTTAAAAAAAGGAGCCACCGCATTGCTAATGAAAGAGTGCAAGGTTTCATACGGCGAGTCTTCACTGAGTGTGAGGACACGGAGCTGGGACGATACTGGCTTGTCTGCATCAATCACTGGAGTCCGTTTAATGAATGCCAGGCTGCAAGAACGGAAAAGAAGAAATTAGAACAAAGAGTCTCATTCTTCATCAGTTTTAGTAACTGCAGCCTTCTTTGTGTTGCATGCAAACTAAAAATTCATTTGAATGTTTTAATTTTAAAATCACATTAGGAATAGACTAAATTGTTGCTTTTCTAATAGTGAAATACATTGCTTCTCTTTCTTTACTCACCTATGTGAGAACTAGCAAATCAAGGTTAAGATTATAACATGTGACCATGAAAGCAGACCAAGTCTCATATGGGGGTTGAGCTCATAACCTTGCCCTCAGGAAAACTAACCTCCCTATAGCAGTTGCAAGTTACAAGCCCCGATTAACTTAAATCCGATCTCATACTAATTTGTCCCATTCATTTATGGCATTGAATCACATGTCAACTTGACTAAACAAAAGTCACCTGCAGGTTGAAGTGACGAGAGGACATTCCAGGCCCCTACAGCCTGGCCTAAACCAACCCTTCCAGTTTCATCTCCTGCTACGCACCCCCTACCCCACCTGAGACACCCTTTAAACTACATGGCCCATTCTCTAAACTTCATGTGCTTTTGTGTAGTTGCTTAAGAAACCTATATTCATCTGCTGAAATTCCAAGTAACCCCCAAAACCCAGCTCCAGCATCACTTCTCCCATGGGGCTGTCCCTGAGCAGAAGCAATCTCCGCAGTCTTCACGTTTCATGGTATTCTACACCTCTAAGATTTTGCCAAGTATTACAGCTAGTTGTGTATCTGCCATCCTTTCTCCCAAAAGACCATAAACTTCTTGGGAAAAGGAGCTATGTTTTATTCCTTTGCACACCTACTGCTGTATCTTACACATAACAGGTGCTCAAAGGTGGTTGAATTAACAGCTTCAACAGGAGCAATATTTGAATCTTCCAGTTCTCATATTATGCATATGTACTTTATACATAATACTTCACATTATTCTAAAAAGTCAGTGAAGCTTCCTGATGTGACACGCTGAGAAGGAAGACAGTCACAGTAGTATTCCTGCT